ATTTACCCACCCTAAGATGTGTATATACATGCATAGTAACATTTTCATTTTTAGGACGATGCTTTGAAATTTTAAAATCTTTGTTTTATTTTGTTATAACCTGTTTTCTGATAGGCATTGCCTTTCATCAAATCATTTACCCTATTTCTCCTATGTAGACTTGATTAATTTGCGTATAATTTTTATTTATTGCACTTTCAAACGCGATTCAGATTATTTGTGCGTATAACTCAATTCAATATATTTTCTTCGCCGCCTTCTTCGTCGCTATTATGATTTGATGTTCGCTTACAAAGTACAGTTTCGCCCATTATAATCAACCTATGCATAAACATCTCCATTATTATATACATTTAATACATACATACATATGTATGCATGCCTGTATCTAATAGTTTTTTTTTTACTGGTTAAAAAGCCTCAATAACCTGTAGGTAATCAACCAATAATATTTAATTTGATGAACTCAAGATAATGAGGCCTTCTGTTGACTACATCTGCTACATCAGTTTGATTTCCATGTGGAAATAGAGATGGTTTTATTCGGTCTTTAAATACCTGCTCTAAACTTTGCGAATACTTTCAATATCTGAACCAGTACAAAAAGCTTCGATTTTAATGGAGTCTTTTTTTTAATATCAATGGGTAGGTTCAGAAGGCGCAGCAGTTCAGCGCAACCGGTGCTAAAAAAATCGGCGATCGTTATGCGTAATGTGTCCAACCGTACTCCTTTCGGGAGTACAGTGCTTCTTTATTAGCTCTTGTACTTCGTACTTCGAAGTAGAGTTAAATGTACTTCTGGACGATCGTCACATGGCCTGGGCGATAAATTAGTTCAAACCCTTCAAGTCGCCGGGGATCGATTGCATCATACCTGCCCAGCTGTAAAGGGCGCTAGTGGTGTCGTGCAATTGGTTGGCTCCTATGTATTCGAAATGCGTGGGGCCGGGTACATCCCCAAGGTTTGGAGGGTAGTCATGCGTTGCGTTCATCCCGAAAGCCGGAAAAGGCTCTCATGTTTCCCCTTTGAATACTAGGCCTATCAGTCAGTTTTAGTTTTTGCTACACACGATAGACTGATAGACCTGTACATAAGAAACGCGATTCTTCGTGACTGTCTTTCAAGAGCTTATTGCAAGAAAAGGGCGGTGGATACCGCCCCGCGCACATTGGTAACGTGGTAAGAGGAAGTCTTCGCGCATCAAAAATTATGCAGTGGGGGCCTTCCTCGATATCGAGGGGCTTTCAACAATGTCCCTCAAGAGGTAATAATCAACACTATTCAAAATCAGGGCATTGAAACCAACCTAAAAAGGCTTTTCTACAGCGTACTTCGTGACAGAACTGCCGCAGTGGAGTGGGAGAGTGCCTGCACTTAGCGCAGAGTCAATAGGAGCCCTCCGCAAGGCGGTGTTCTCTCTCCCCTGCTCTGGATCGCGGTTGTAAACGACCTTCTAGAGGGAGTGGAAAAAGTGGGCTGTCGGATGATCGCCTATGAAGATGGTGGGACGATTTCTAGGCACCCTATGATCTGGCTCAAGGTTTCCCGAACCAGGTTACTAAGTAAGTGGGCAATCAATGGCGGCCTCTCAGTAAATCCTTGAAGGATGGAACTGGTCTTGTTTACCAGGAAGTGTTCGTCGACAGCTCAGACAGGGTATAGTACCTAGGCTTGACCCTGGATGGGAAGCCTAACATTGAGGAAAGGGGAAGAAAGGCGATGGTGGCCTTGTCCTGCTGTGGGCGAGCTATCCGTAAAAGGTGAGCTCTCTCGCCCAAAGTAATTCATTAGCCTTATGAAACCAGATTCAAGCCTATCTTGTTTCAGAGCCCTTGTCTGGTGGAACTCTATAGAGAAGGCCACACTTGTAAAACAACTGCAGCGTTTACAGTGGATCGCCCTAATCGAAAGTGGGCACCTACACTGGCGCTTAACGTCATGTTGAACACGGGGGCGTGCGGATATTGCAGACAGAGTTGTCGCAGCACGAACTGTGATTATGTTTAGGGAAACTCTCCACCAAAACTATGTTCAGGCTTCCGGACTCCTGCAGTGTCTTTGAGTTGAAAATAGCTGCCATCAAGGAAGCGGTCAACTCCATGCTAAAGGATGTGATGGTGGGTTCGAAATCGGTCTCGATAATGAAATTGCGAACTCCATTAAATACCTAATAAAATGACATAAGAAATTGATGCTCGTTTTGTGACACTTAAAAACACTTTTTGCAGCGAAAGACACGAGTGACCCATGTTACCCCTTAAAGGGGCCGAAAAACACGTAACCTCTCAAGGGCTAATGATGGGGGTTCTGACAGGCCATTGGGGGATTGGAATACGCGCGGTAAGGCTAGGAATTTCAACTGATCCCTTTTGTATCAGCTGTCAAGAGGAAAATGAGGTGGAAACATCTCCATACTTTCTTTAAGACTGTCCACCTTTCACGGGGCTAAGATGGAAGCATTTTGGCTCCAACTTCTTAACTAACACTGAGCTCTCAAGGGTCGAAATTAGCGTCATTCGAAATTTGGTAATCGGCTCGCGGCGTTTCACTACTAAATTAAGGGTCTTCGTTCCGCAATCGCGGGACACGTGATCGAATGAAACAAAATGACAGCTGTTTTCTTCACAATATAATTTAAACGGGCGAGGCACACTCGCTATCGAATTCCGCGATCTCAATATCAAATTTCGATTCGAGTTGCGTTTGATATCGAGTGCCGCGATTCGAACTCTGTACTTCCTTGGGCTATGAAATAGTTGGTCACATTAGTTACCTTCTGAACGGCTTGATACAATAGCTGTCAAATTCAACCCTAAAAGGTACACACCAACATGTTGTCTCAAATGATCAGAAAAATAGTACGATCATCTAACACGCAACTGTTCAGTTGATCAGAAGTACACAACAACACGTTCAGAAGGTGCAATCGCAACAGTTACTGAGCTTTTGCGCCTTCTGAACGTACCCGATATAATTAAAATATTTTCTCAGTTCTTTGATCAAAATTATTATTTTTTTAATATTGTTAATTTTTTAAAGAAACTTGGTATCAAAAAATTCTATCTGTTTGTTAGTTTCGTAGAAAAAAAAAACAGTTTTGTTTCTTTGCTGTCATAAATTCGAGTAGTATAATCAAAAAATTGGTAACTTGCATACATGGTGGTAATGTTTCCACTTCAATCTGCACATCCCAGCAATTGCGGTGTCTTGCAGCGAATAGCCACATGGACGTTTAATAGGGTTGCCAGCTTTTTTTGGTGCGAAATCAGTACATTAGACTTTTTCATGCTATAAAAATCAATATTTTTCAGTACACTTTTATTCCAAGCAGAATTATGAATGTAAGTAGCAGATAATACTTTGAAACGCCAGAGTACTTGTTTTTAATAATATCTTGGTATGGGTAAGTCTTCCTCAAGTGGGCCCCGAATTTACCAAGATTATACTATTATTACCAAGAAAAGCAAAAAAAAATTTGTAACGCAAATAATTTCATTCTATAGTTAAATGGTTTTCAAATCTGCACCCAACAAAATTTTTTCATTCGGACACTTACTTTCCAAAACACTGCAACAATTTTCAATTGTTGATAAAAAAAACTATGCCTGAATATCATTGAAAAATATTAATCTTGGTAAATTCGAGGCCTACTTGAGGAAGCCTTACCTGTTTATAAATAAAATGTTGTTCATAAATAATAAAAATGTTATTCATTTTAAAATGAGTATACACATTAACATGTAGTACGAGATACCTTTATAATATTACAGGAGCCAATAAATTATTTTATATATGTACATGACATTTTTTTAATAGCAATAATGAGATAATTCCCACTTTCAGTGTTTAAATAGTCAAAGAACTCTACACCTATACGTATTTTAATATTACTTTTAATTTGAAGTTCACTTTCTAAAATTTTAATTAGAAGTCGGTTTCTCTCTTTTCGCCAGGAAGTAAACTTTATATTTAAGTTAGTTCCTCTCAGGTGCTTCGTTTGAGCGTGGTATTGAAAAAACAAAACTACATATTTATTCAAACTGTGAAAATAGTCCTCTATTCAAGGACTGCATCCGTATTTCCTCATGACTTAAACTATTTTTTCAACTGCGTAAAAACTTTGAAAGACTAAGAATACGCCAAAAGGAGTATCTAAATTGAATCAGTAAATTAAGAAAAACGAATTGTAAGTTGTAGGCAAAGCCATTCAATTATTCAAATTTGTTGTTATGTAAATATATTTTGAAACTGCTTACTATTTTTGAAGTGTTTTCTAAAATTTCCCCCACTACTTCTTTCTACTCATCTAAGGCAGTATAAAATTTCTTCGCCTGTTTTTCCTGACCCAATTTTTCTTAATTTCGTATACACAGTTTTCTCACTCATAATTCATCATTTTCTCATTATGCTGCTGTCAGAAACATTAGCACTCAAGTAAAAATCCTTAAAATTATTTCACACTCACGGCCAGCTTCCTTTTGGTAATTAAACGCCACACTTTGCATCTTCAAGCATTGCCGCCTTACTGCCAGCTGTTAAGGCGTGTGTAATGATCACTTTAAATTAATTTACCAATCAAAAAAAGTGCGACCCTCGGAGTGATTCGTAGAGCACACAGCTGAAGAACACCAAAAGCGCAGACTATGCAACATCAACGAACATACGAACTTATCCAATGCATTCAAGCGGGCGCTTATCCAAGTTTACCTAACTAATTTGTAGTTTTCGGTCTTTGTTGCTCAGTTCCTAAATCCATTTGCATGTCAACCCATTGACATATTGCCACATTGTCGAAGATTTACGTTCGCACTTCACTTTTCAAGTAAACCGCATGTTTCAGCATCGAACTCTTCTTTTAAGCCGTTTTAATTGAATAAGCCTTAACTTTATTTTACCACTCACTCAAACATACATGCATACATATACATAAGTATGTATGTACGTATGTACATATGTATGTAGAAGCAATATTTTTTAAATTTTGTTTTTGTATTTTCAGGTAAAAGCTTTACGCTTACAATCACCGTCAACACCAGCCCAATACAGGTGGCCACCTATGCCAAAGCTATTAAAGTCACCGTTGATGGGCCGCGTGAGCCGCGATCCAAGACAAGTAAGTTGGGTAAACCTGTTCGAAAGAGGATCCCGATACCTAGACATTCTCCTTCTCCCACAATTACTACTACTGTCAGTTCTACCAACACAAACACTTGCCAAACAGCTTCTCGCGAATTACAAATAATGGACTCACAATCACCAATCAAACATTCCCCTCACACACCGCTATCGCCACTATTTGAGCAGAGTGATTGTGGTGATTCCATGGCATATAACGGTGAGAGTTTCCCCTCTTATAGTATGCATCGAATATCGCGAGAAACATTCATTCACAACGCCCGTGTAAATACAAACCATCAAAGTATATCGATTTAGACATGACATTTTTACATTCTATTTAATTTGACATTTTATTTCTTATGTACATTTAAACTTTTAACATTCCTAAAGTTCAAATCCTAAATTGTTAGATAGCAATTAAAATAATACCCGTTGCTAAAAAACTACTTAACTCGAAGGCCGGATTAAGATTGGACATGGCTAAAGGGCCGGAGGAAATGTAGAATAAATGCAATGTGTTTCCTTCCAATAACGATACATATCGCACACCGTCTTCAAAAGAGTCACAACTCAAAATTTTGTATTTTTGAAATTATGCGCTAAGAATGTACACAGAGCTTTTATTTACCTTTCAGCAAAAGCTGGAGCAAATTTCTGTTATGATTTGTTAAAAAAACCTAAGGTAAAGTCGGCCTTGCCCATGTGATTAGCATGTGTTACAAAATAGTTTTTCACAATTTCTGACGAACCTATTATTTTGAGTTGTGGCTCTTTTGAAGACGGTGTGCGGTATGTATGTACATATGACACGTTTAATAATATAGAGATGTAACTCAAAATTTACGTTTTTGGAGATTTCATAATGCAAATAATAAGATTGATAAGTAGAATATGTTCAGTCTAACAGATAACCGAATTTCGCAAATATGGCGAAGATAATCAGCCCTATCGTTAATTCCATGTGAATAAATCGTTCCCATAGTTTAACATGCAATACAAAAACAAATTGGGAAAAATTGTTTTTGTTTTGCTTTAAAATCTTTGGGAATATATGTGAAATTCGCGATAGGGCCGAATGTGGCTTTTCATTTGTCTTTTTAACCGACTTCCAAAAAAGGAGGAGGTTATCAGTTCGTCGGAATATTTTTTTTTTTTTTTTTTTATGTATGTTACCGCATAACTTTGGACCACCGATTTCGATAATTATTTTTGCATCGGAAAGGTAGTGTCTCAGAGGTGGTCCCATACTAATCTGGTTAAGATCCGATCAGCGAATCATGAGATATATACATATATATATTTTTTTTTATATGAGAGTTGAAGTCGGTTTTTTTTTTGCTAAAAATTACTTGTTGTATACCAACCAGGGTTCGTATTTGCACACATATGTGCAGCACATCCTAACATTTTACGCTCACACACGTGTGCTGTGCATATAAAAAATTAAAAATTTGCTCACATCACATGTGTGTGCCGTTTGGTAAAAAGCACGGGCACATGTGTGTACTTTCTTTTTATTAATGTAAAGCACACGCACATGTGTGTGCTATGCGTAGAGAAACTTATACACTTCGAATTCTAACTCAAATCTTAAAATAATTTTTTAATATGTTTTCTGTCATATAAAAAACAAACAACATCTCACTTTTTATTGAATTGTCTTTCAAAAAATAACGTTTAATAAACAAATTCTTTTAAGAATATATTATGTGCATGTGCATGGGCTGAAATTTGTACAAAAATCGGCTCACACACATGTGCATGTGCTTAATAACAAACAGCACACACTTTTCTGTGAGTAGAGTTTGTTTTCCACTTATGCACACACATGTGTATGAGCAGTGAGTGCAAGTTGAATGTGTTTCTGGCGTGTGTGTGAGCAGAGCATGTGTGTGCAAATACGAACCCTGATACCAACTGTATAAATTGATAAAACTTTGAATGCGTTTTCCCACAAAATTGAAATTTTGAAATACTTCGATATTTTATTAAACGTGCGATATCATAACTGCATCGATTTGTCGGCCGCTTTGGTTTAGTGGTTAGCAGTGTGCGCTTCCACTCCGCTGCGCCTGGGTTCAAGCCCTGGTCAAAGCAACCCCGAAAAAAAATATAGAAAAAAGGTTTTTTCTTAACAGTGATCGTCCCTCTCAGCTTCACATAAAAATACAACCGCCGTTCGGAGTCGGCGTAAAACAGTAGGTCCCTCCCCTTTAAGTGACAACATCAAGGCGCGNCAGCACACACTTTTCTGTGAGTAGAGTTTGTTTTCCACTTATGCACACACATGTGTATGAGCAGTGAGTGCAAGTTGAATGTGTTTCTGGCGTGTGTGTGAGCAGAGCATGTGTGTGCAAATACGAACCCTGATACCAACTGTATAAATTGATAAAACTTTGAATGCGTTTTCCCACAAAATTGAAATTTTGAAATACTTCGATATTTTATTAAACGTGCGATATCATAACTGCATCGATTTGTCGGCCGCTTTGGTTTAGTGGTTAGCAGTGTGCGCTTCCACTCCGCTGCGCCTGGGTTCAAGCCCTGGTCAAAGCAACCCCGAAAAAAAATATAGAAAAAAGGTTTTTTCTTAACAGTGATCGTCCCTCTCAGCTTCACATAAAAATACAACCGCCGTTCGGAGTCGGCGTAAAACAGTAGGTCCCTCCCCTTTGCCAATTCTATATATTATTCTGAACCAAATCGCTTATTCACAGCGATCTACAAGTCGTACAGAGACAAATTATACATCAAATTAAAGTGCTCTATTTGAAACTTTGCACAAACTTTTCTGATTTAAGATTCATTGAACCATTTTCGAAATATTTGCGTCGAAAGATTTTAAAATTTTTACATTGAGCAAAGCAATACTACGTTCATTTCGATAGGCAGTGTCTCAGCGGGACATAAGAGAATGAAAAATTGTTCCATTTATTCGCTCTCGTTTCTGTTTTTAATCGACTTCCAAAAAAGGAGGAGGTTATCAGTTCGTCGGAATATATTTTTTTTTTTATGTATGTTACCGCATAACTTGGGACGACGTCAACCGATTTCGATAGTTCTTTCTGCAACGGAAAGGTAGTGTCTCAGAGGTGGTCACATACTAATTTGGTTTAGATCCGATCATTGGATCATGAAATATATAGATATATATATATTTTTTTAAGTCGGTTTTTTTTTGCTAAAAATTACTTGTTTCGATGTGTTTTTCTGAGGCAAATATGGTTCTATTTGTATTATAAATCTATATATCTTGTATATAATCGTTCAGAGACAATTTACATTCAAATTAAGGTTCTGGATCTGAAACTTTGCACAAACATTTCAGATTTGGGAATCATTCGATGTACATATTTGCACGGAAAGATTTTTAAAATTTTACATTGAGCAATTTTAAAATGTAGAACTGAATCTCACACACGCATTCTCATTTGCACCAATTTTGAACCATTTCATTTCTTTATTTTCAATTTTGTTTGGGTTTAAAATGCTGGAAAACTTAAAAAAATCCTCCTGTCCACAAAATAAGCACTGTACGATAGTTAATAAAGAAATGGTTAATATGTAGTCCGGAGGAGAAATTGCGCCGATATCTACTGAATAACCACAGGAGCAAATAGAAGTAGGGGAGTTGCACCTCATGACTTGATACTAAAAGTTAGGAGCAGTTGTGATGCTAATCCACAACCTAAATATGTAGATATGAAGAGTTAGTTAATGGTCTCGCCTAATAGTAAAAGAATTACAATGTAATTGTTTGGACTAGAGTGCCAGTTACTGTCGAAATTCAACAGTTTTTCCAGTTTTAGAAGCCTTGGAGAGGATTTCAAACTTAACACGCAGCAAAAATTATACGGTACAAATTAACTAACCGGAAAATCTTCTGATAAAACGTAACTAAATTTTTTTTTATCTGAGAAGGTCTTTGGAGGACTTCGGCAGGACTTGGAATTGACGTGATACATTCAGGTTTATCGATAAATTTCAATGATTTGATACATTCGATAGTTCGATGAATTTCAAGAACACTAAAATACGATAACTCAAAAAAATGCGTTAACTCGACCAATTTCGGTAACTGTAAAATTCGATGGCTCGATAAATTTAGATAACTCAAAAATGTAAAAACTATGGATACCTTTATAAATTTTTACTTTTGACATCTCCACATTTTTCGAAAACTATCTAAACATTTTGATACCTCGTTACACTCTGTTAAGATGATTAAATGCGATAAGCAGTGATAAATCGATAAGCTTATATAACCTTGAAATTTCGATAAATCGACATATTTTGAAAATCCCATGAACTTCGCTTCGTTGAACCAACCAATTTCAGTAGATCAATAATTATCGATAACTCTGTAAGTTGAAAGAACTCCATGCATTACGACACCTCGATATATTTCGTTAAGTCTATAAATAATGATAATTCAATAAATATCGATAACTTGATACATTTCTTTAACTTGACAAATTTCGTTAATCCCACACGTTTTTATAGCTCGATAACTATCCGTAAATTTGGACAACTAAGTTTCTGTGTCTATAAATTTCGACAACTCAGTAAACATTGATCAGTTTGAATAATTCGATACGTTGCGATAACTTAATAAGCATGGATAAATTTCGATAACTATAAACTTCGATGATTCGATAAATTTCAGTAACCTTTATGGCTGATTTTATTTCGATTCCTATCGGAAAATTTCAGCTCTGTTAACCTAATTCTTATGTATTTCTCATTGTCTCCATTTTCGGCTTTATTNTGTATTTCTCATTGTCTCCATTTTCGCCTTTATCTCAATTTTCGTCTTTATCTTGACTTTTGCCTTTTTTTGTCTTCATCGTTATCACTTGTTTCTTCATCTTCATATTTATCTTTATTTCAAAGTTTAATTTCAAATACGAAGTAAAACAAAATGCGAAACGCTTGAATTGAACAGGTTGCATAAACAACCATTAACAAATATGGAAATTTTTAAACGACCATTTTCAACCAATTTCGAAACTACAAAAACTCTCCCCATCTATAGAAAATTACTTTCCAACGGTGTTTCTGCTATTGAAATCGGTAACTTTACCTTGGTCTTCATCTTTGTTTTTATCTTTCA